AAATGTTACATGAAAACTATCAGAGCATTGGATAGATGACTTTCAGTGATTTATAATTATCTTTAATGAAAGTCAGGGTACAAGGGCTTTCTTTTGAGAGCAACTTACAAGATTTAAGACATGAATGTGTAATTATGAAAAGAAGAATCAACCTAAGAGAAACTATGCAGAACACTCCTGTCTCTTTTCATTCCTAAATATGTTATATACTATGTATAGAGATTGAGGGTATCATTTACCCAGTTATCCTCAATTACAACAATATCACAAGCAGAATACTAACATGGATATAGTCAAGATACCCATTTCAGCATCACAACATCCTCTCATAATCCCCACACCTCCGATCCCTCTGATTGACCACCACCACTACAAGCACCTGAACCTCCTATCCCTCCTATCCCTAGTTTGGGAGACCTACTAGACTCCACTGTAGGAAAGGCAGAACTTTAACTCTATCCCTTCCCCTGCAAATTCCTGGCAACTTTGCATCTACACAAATCTGCTTTCCTTTTGAAAATTTTGTCATTTCAACAATTTCATATAAAAGTGAATAATACAGTATGTAACCTTTGGCGTTGACTTTTTCCACTCACCATAATTTGCTGGAGATTCCTCTAGATTGTTGGATAAATAGTTTGCTCTTTTATGTTACTGAGACAACTCCCTGGTATAGATGCACCAGTCGTTTCAACCATTCACCTGTTAAAGGACATCTATGTTGCTTGCACGTGTAGGCTTTTACAGATAAAGGTACTATAAACGCTCATGTCCAACTCTTTGTGTGAACACAGAAGTTTTCATTTTCATAGAATGAATGCCTAGGAGTGCAGGTGTTATAGGGTTTGGTTGTTTGATGTTTTGTTTTTAAAGAAAGTGCCAAACAGTTTTCCAGAATGGCTTTACCATTTTACACTCCCATTATGCATGTGTGAGTTATCCCACTTCTCTGCAGCTTTGCCAGCACCTGATGCTGTCAGTATTTTTTAACCAATCCGATAGGTGTCTCCACTGTCCTTTAATGGTATAAGTGAAGACAAGAATAGAGACTCACCTAAAGTTAGGGATAACACTGAAAATTTAATTCAGCAATTTAAGTGTTGCCATATTTTTCCTAAAATCTGATCAGTGAAATTCAGAAAGTTGTACTTCTAAACTATCAGTAAATTTAATTAAATAAGCATAAACAGTCAGTCATGTAATCCCATTTCACCTGAAATATTCAATCAGGTACATATGTTTCATATAATATTTCATGCCATTTTGTACTAATACTCATTATTATGGTTCTTTTAATCAAAAAGTCTTATCCATGTAATTTGGTCACTGACACAGACTTGAGTAAGTAACTCCTTGTTTATGTCTCACTAATCAATAGCTACTACATTACTTTTACAACTGCAGATTTAGGTCCTTTTTAAAGTTACTCAACTTTAGACTGTATTAATATTAAGTCAAGTCATCTATGCCAAACAACCATATCTTTTTATCGGAGGAGGGTATGGTAAGAACTTTCTATGCTTTCTCTCCAACTTTTAGATAAGTCTTTTTCAAAAACTCCCCATCTCCCTGAGAAGACTAAATATTATTACAACCTCTTTATTCCATACTTAGAAATTCCACATTATAGAAAACTGTTTGGTAGACCCTACTAGACTCTACTGTAGGAGAGGCAGAACTTTCACTCTACCACTTTACCATCCTGTCTGGACCTCAGCACTACACCAAACATGAGGTCCATTAACGAGAGACAATATATGCTTTGTGTAACATAGCTGCCCTCAAAAGGAAATGAAAACCCAAAGAAATAGAAAAACCTAACTGCCTTTTTACATTGGGTTGGAGAAAAAAGGCAATTCTGAGAAAGTAAATTATATGTGGAAAAGACAGAATTATTTTAATCAGGTTTGATTGTACAGAATTCTTTTGACCAAGGCTTCCCACCAAAGAATGTTTCCTTTTATTTTTTTTTTCTCCTGCTACAAAGAGCTTCTTTTACATGAGAGCTTTATCTCCTGTGAGGAAGAAAGGGGGGAAGTTAGAATGTCCTTCTTACACCCACTATTATTAAAGTGTCTGTAGTGTAAAATAATCCTTATACCAAAGTAGCACATTTTAGGGTGCATTTTCTGCCATCTTTTACTACCACCAGCTGAACAAACACATGCATACCTGTGTCCCATCTATTTCACATCTGTTATACACCTATCAAAAATGTATGCATTGAAGCCAAGAAAGTCTGCAAAAATTTTACAACAGCATTATTTGTAACAGTTCCAAACTGAAAATAACGTAAACATCTACCAAAAATAGAATGTGCTTTTAAACTGTCCTGTGTGAAATTTACAGTGGAAGGTCTTACAGCAATGAACAGGAATAAGCCAGTTTTATACACTACAATATGGATTAGTATCACAAACATAATATTCACTGGATCCAGTCATTCAAAACAGAATATACTCTGTATGATTCCACTTGTACGAAGTTCAAAAACTGGTCAGATTATGTTACCACTTTGGCAACTGTAACTGGAAGAAGGTATCAGGGAGATTTCTAGTGGACTTCTAACGTTCAAATTCTCGATTTGCAGGGAAATTAATAGGATGTGTTCACTATTTGATAATTCACCACACTAAACAAATTATTTCCATCTTTTTCTATGTTAAACCTAATATAGTAGTTTATATAGCATTTTTTTCCTCTCATTGAGTTTATTGGTACATTTTAGGTATACAGTGAAGTTACATTCATCATTGGGATCTTGTATCTTTACATGACAGGTCTTGGCTCTCATTTTTCCCCTTACCCATCCTCCCTCAAACCCTCCTCCCTTCCCTATTAACAAACACTTTATTTCCATTTTTGTTTTCTCAGATTTTTTTCTTTTCCCTTATTTCCTTTCCCCTACCCTTCCCACTTCCCCTACAACTTTAGCCCTTTTCTTCCTATTTCACATTGTCAGTTATACCATTAGGATCTTATTTACAATTATAGTTTTTCACACCAGAGAAACGATTCAGTATTTACATATGTGTGACTTATTTATTTCACTTAAGAGTATATCCTCAATATGCATCCATTTTCCTATGAATGACTCTAACTTCTCATTCTTTATGGCTTAGTAGTATATAGCTTTTAAAGAGATGAGAAACGTTTAAAGTAATGATACTTAAAAGATGGCAATGATAGTTATAAAGAGAATATTTTTTTTTACCTTAAGTAATGGTCACAAGCCCTAGTATACAAAAGTTTTATCCTTCTTAGAGTGCTAAAATTCAGAGTTACCAGGACCCAGTCACTGGAAGACTTGAAAAATTTGACCTCTTCTCATTGATTAAAGAGACCTTGGGGAAGTTACTGCCAGTACTGGCTAAGTAAATAGTAATATCCTAGAGAAAGTAGAATTTTGGGGGTTTTTATGAGGTTCATGTCATTCTTTCTGAGAAGAATCTCTTCTACTGGATCTCTAAGGGAGAAAAACAGAGCCTTTGAAGTGGTAAATCACTGGGAAAGCAGTGACCACAATCCTAGTAAGTCTCCAAGTGGGTAGATGCCATTACATTGTAGAGGAGAATATAAATTTTCCATGAAATATGCCCTTACTCTGATATTCTTTGAAAATTTAATAATGACTAGTTATGATGGCTGTCCACTCAGCCATCCTACAAATATTTATGCAATACTTTCTGAGTACCAAACATGTTACATATGGGGATGCAATGGTGAGGAGGAGAGACATAAAGCCTGCCCTCCAACAGGGCCACAGTCTATCAGGGAATACACACAAGCAAGACTAAACAATTGCTTGTACAAATGAGGACACATGGGGGAAACACAAAAACTAGACAATAGCATGAGTGAGGGAAATGAGTCAGGACTTTCTGCCAACTGCAAAGAATAGTCTTGGCATCCCAAATAAGTAGAAGGAATACAAGGAAAGACAAAGCCACAAGACAGTACAGGTGACCATTCCAGGAGGGAGCAGCATGAGCAGTCCCCACAGGTGAACCAATAGCCCAGGAATGTTGGGAACGGGACCAGGCCGACAGAAGGGCCTTGTCAGTCAATGCAAGGCAGGCAGAATTTGTGCTATTATAGGAGAAAATAAGTTAAATTGAAAAACAGTATATATGGTATTAATATTTTCTTTGAGTGAAAGTTCTTTCTGGGATATCCAAGTCTCCACTTGTCAGAAAACGTGTAAGCTGAATGGTCAGAGAGAGATTAGCACACTTAAAAATACGGGTGGCTCCCAAGTGGATGGTCCCTTCCGGCACACTTGGCATGGAGCGTCTCACCTACACCACAGTCATGCTGTATATCCCAGTAACAATAAAAGTGAACAAATAGTTTATTCTGCTCTCTTAGGTACTCACCAAATATTGATTATGTATCACTTCTGCTATGTTCTGGGGAGAACTGGGAAGGTATATAATCAAACATGCAGGTAACAGGCTATGTAAACAGGTAGAAAATGTATTAGATCCCAATCATCTGAGGTTTCAATCTTGGTTTGGCTTCTTACTAATTCAGTGACCTCCAGTCACTTACTTAATCCCCTGCACCTCATTTTCCTTTTCTAGAATGTGAAGCCAAAGCACTACTATGAAATGCCCTGTAGGATTAAATGAGATAACATGTACAAAGTACCCAGGATAATTTCTGCCCCTAAATTTAGTGGTTCACAATGATTCCCAACACCTGGACTCTATCTTCCTTTCTCCTCTTCATGCCAACTTCCTTCCTCACTGTGATTTGCAAGCTCATCCATGGGCACCGTGGTTTAGCAGCCATGCACATTCCCTGCCATCCACTGTGTGAAGTACAAACTTTCCTCTGAAGGACAGACTCATGTCTTAGTTAGGACCATTTTGGGGTAGGAAATTCCAGGGTCCAGGCACCTTGACCATGGGAATAGACTGGGAGACCAGGGAAAGGAAAATCCTTAGACACCCAGAATCCTTACCCTATGGGAGAAGGATGACACCAGAGGACTACATCCGGGGGCTTCTGGTTTTCTGGTTGGGCAGAAGAATCATTTGCCTAGGTCTAAAGGCAATACAGTTTAGAAGTCAATGCTACATGAATTAATAATTTCAAGCAATAGCCTTTCTACTGAGCTATTTTACTTACTGAGCTATTTACTTAGCTAGTTACAACCATCTGCTTCCTCAAACTACCCTATTCTTATAGCTATTTTATACAAATGCTACCTATGTTCCTATTTTTCTTAGTCTTAAACTCACTCCAAATCCCTAATGAGTCCAAGGTCTTAAGGTACTTGTTTCTTGTGCTGGGCATCCACATTATCTTTGGATACAAGAAATAAAATCGAATCTAGACTTCACTGCAGTTGTTGTTAATCAGTGTGTAGATTTAAAGAAATATCTCAGCAATGTTAAACATTTTGTATGATGCACATTTCAGAGGTGGGAGAAGCTCTGTAAATCTAAGCTTAACTCCAAAAACTGGAAATCAAAATATGTATCTGAGTCACTTAAACAAAAGAACTCTCACTTGTCATGGAGACATTTGATTCATTACGTAGTCAGAAGGAGAAAAGTTAAAACCTCCAACAGGAAAGTCAAGCGGTAGAACACACTGAGCTCAGCAACCATAACCCAAGTTCTGTGTCACAGTAAACTCAACCCAGGGTCCTGACGTTCTGGGGACTGCAAAACTTGGTGCGAGCTGCCCAAGCCACAGGAGCTGTAAGGCCAGGGCCATGAGCTGCACAGTGAGAAGGAGAGGATGACCTTCTTTATGGTTTCTTCATTAGACTAATCTCTCACCATGGACCCACTCATCTCTGCTTTCAGTCTAGCTATGACTTGCTCTCCTCACTGAATCACTCCTGGGATCATCTTTAAAATGCACATGCTAAACTGCTAAAATAGCCCCAAGGCTAAAAGCTCAAATCATATGAAAGATGAATAAGTGCACCTGGAGCTCCAAGGACCAAGGCCTTAAACTGTCATCATTTCCCACAAAGCACTACTTCACCCACTCACTTGATAGGCATCTGTGACCTGTTCACACAGCACATGGATGAAACTGCCTCAGTTCACAACAGGCACAGTGGGTCTGGAAGAGGCTTCTGCCACAGTATTCTCTCCTCAGCTCTGGCTCCAAACCCTGCCACCAGAACATAAGGACACTGAACAAGCCCACTTGGTGACTTAGAAAGGTCCAAATAGAAGTTCTAACTCTGCAGTTGACCTACTAATAGGTGACCCAGGCAAAGTACCATTTAAAAGCCAAAAATATCTAACACATCTACTTTATTTCAACATAGCAACATTTTCAACTAACCAATCAAATGAGAATCTAAAGAAAAGGGACCTCGGGACCTTGGGACAATAGAGTCAGTCCCTCAGTGTTTCCAAGAGCTGTCCAAGCCATTAAAACTCTGACTAGTTCTTCATATTCTTAGCACAGTGAAGGCTGCACTTTAGCCTTCTCTTCTCCCTTCTGCCTCTACCCATCTTGCAATATTCCCATTAACAAAAACAGTGCTTAATGAGTGATTATTATATTTCTGTTTTCTTTACCTTTCTTGAATGAATAATACTATTGCTGTAATTTATTCAGTGAAAATTTACAGGATCTTTTTTTAGCAGAGTTCTTGCAAAGAGCTATATCTATATACTTTGAGACAGGGTCTTGCTAAATTGCCCAGTTTCCCCAAGCTAGCCTCAAACTTCAACCCTCCTGCCTCAGCCTTCCAAAACGCTGGAATCACATCTCTGTATCACTATACCTGGCTCCAGAATAAATTTCTGAAATATTAAAAAGAATGAAAGAAACAGAAAGAGAGCATGGTTCCTGACTTTAAGTTTATTGTATAGCTGGGGATGGAAAGAACATTAAACTATAAATAACAATACATAACAGACTATAATTAAGCTCTGAAATGAGCAGTCAAAACAAGTTCCATAAACACTACGGTGAGAGAAATTATGGGAGTGGGTGGGGAAGGTTTTCAGAGGATAGGAGCGTGCTCCCCCAAAGTTAGTACCTGAGTTGGGGGAAAGGGAAAGGTCTGAGGAGATGATCTGGACCTTCTTTGTGCAATAGACCCCTTGTAGGCAGCATTCAGATGGCACTTTCCGAATAGACGAATGTCCTTTTGTGGGGCGGAGTGGTTATCATGAAATTGGGTTATCAATGTGAGTCCTCCCCATAGTGCTCTCTCCTTTTCATGTTTATCGCTGTCATGTTAAGATGCAATATAAAGGCCTTTGCCAGCTGTTGCCAATATGACCCTGACCTCCAAAAGGATGATTTAAATAATTTTCATTGTAAGTTACCCAATCTCTAGTATTCTGTTATCAACAGAAAATAGATCAAGGCAATATCAGTCTGCTCAGGTATTCTTTCCTCCTCCAGTACAATATACTGCTAAGATTAGTCTGAACTTCTCAGTTGCCTCAATGTCTTCCCAATATTGCCCTCTTAAGGACTTGATTATGCAAACATGTCCTATATCTATTATGGAAAGACACATTCTGAGAGCTCATATTCAGCCCCAATTGATTAAGAATTACCAATTAACTTCTGTACAATGCCAACTCAACACAGTAAATTGGGATAACTTTTTCCAAAGTCGACAGCACAGTTCTCAGTTGCCTCAATGTCTTCCCAATATTGCCCTCTTAAGGACTTGATTATGCAAACATGTCCTATATCTATTATGGAAAGACACATTCTGAGAGCTCATATTCAGCCCCAATTGATTAAGAATTACCAATTAACTTCTGTACAATGCCAACTCAACACAGTAAATTGGGATAACTTTTTCCAAAGTCGACAGCACAGTTAAAGTTTCCAAAAATAGGTTCTGAAGTCATCTGAACAAAATTATAGACATTCAGCACACTCCATTAAAAAAACAAAAACAAACAAAGAGAAGAATAATACCCAGAAAACAGCAAAGTTCTGTTGCTGTTGTGGTACCTGGAACCATTTTTTTTTTATTAGCATCTTAATCATCTGGAGAGAGAACGTTCTAGAGTAACACCATTAAAAATAGCTCTGATAAAGCACGGTCACTACTACGTATCATAAAGCAGGTACAAGATATTTTACATTCACAGAGGTATCATACAGTACTGTCCTACATCTATTTGGTCTAGAAATGTTTTTTTTTTTCCATTTCTACAGGGGTAATGCACTGTATTAAATATGTAAGGTCATATCTACATGGGTTTGATTACAGAAACTAATAAAGTATTCTCTAAATAATGAAAAAAGAGAATAATATAAGACTACAAGAGCAAGAAGCAACTTCAATATGTTCAAGGACCATTTTCATCTTCAGAATTAAGGATTATTTTAATTTTACATTATTGCCTTTTCTCTTTTACTTTTCTTTTTATTTTTTTTTTTTTAGGATTCCCTATTTTTAATGTTCATACAGAGATTTCTTTAACTGAAATACCAAATAGTTTCTCTGGTGTGAAAAACTATAATAGTACACAAGATCCTAATGAGATAATTAATAATGTGAAATAGGAAGTAAAGGGTTAAAGGTGTAGGGAAAGTGGGAAGGGTGGGGGAAAGGTAATAAGAGAGAGGAAAAAATAGGAGAAACTGAAGAAATGGAAATAAAGTGTTTGTAAATGGGGAGGGGAGGAGGGGGTGAAGGGAGGGCAGGGACAAAGGGAAAAAATGAGAATCAAGACCTATCATGTAAAGGTACAGGATCCGAATAATGAATGTAATTGTATTGTGTACCTAGATTGTGCCAATAAACTCAGTAAAATTTTAAAAAAAGAATTACCAATTAACTGCTTCTGATCAGATAACAACTTGGCCTGTTCTGGCTCCTCATGGACCCTCTGAATAATTATTATCTTGCAACCTGAGAAGTTAGTAACACTAACTTGCTCATCTTGTCCAGTTGTGGAAGGCAGAAATAGAACAATCATGGTAAATTACATGACAGACATTAGGCAACATTCACCACAATGATCCCAACAACCAGAGATCAATGATTCTAAGCAACAAGATTTTTGAGTCATCCCTTACTCTCTCTGTCTAGCCCCTCCTCCAGGTTTATACAAAATATGTCCTCCAGGTCCCCAATTGTAGTTCTTGATCTCCACCCCTTATGGACATAGTTCCTTTCTAAGAGGCACACGCACAGCACACAGGAGCCACTACCTCACACAGCTGCTGAACCAAGTAAGCAAATGGGGTGCAAGAACTCTCCAGGAGAGTAACTTGATTTGCTTGCAAATAGAAAATTCTCCTTGCTTCTCTCCCCAGTGATATGACACCTCCCAAATAAAAGGAAAAGGAATTAAAGGGATTCTGGATTCCCTGCCATTGTTAATATTAGAGCTATTCTACTTATGTCAATTTTATATTTGTGCATTGCACATAACTTTTTTTTTCAGTTTTAATTGAGTTTATTGGTACATTTTAGGGATACAGTACAGTTACATTTATTGTTGGGATCTTGTACCTCTACATGACAAGTCTTGATTCTCATTTTTTCCCCTTACCTCTGCTTCACCCCCTCCTCCCCTCCCCATCTACAAACACTTTAGTTTCATCTTTTCACATAACATAACTTTTAAAACCCAAAACTTTGAAAATAACTGAACAAGATGATCCTCTAGTCCCAGCCTTCTAGAGTAAGACACACCAAAGTCCTGTTCTAGGAGCATGAGCAAAGCAGACAAACACCTCTATGCAATATGATCTGGAAATAAAAAAGATGCCTACCGCAAATCAGCTCCTTTTTATGATCCTTGCAATTTCCATCTTTTTCACACTGTCAGAGACAAAGCTAGTCACTAGTTAAAGTGGTAAGGGCAGATCTTAATCAGTAATGGACTATTGCAATACCAAAAGATGTCCAGCATAAACTAAATTTAACTGTTATTTGTGCAGGGGAGGCCTTGAGTTTTAAAGAAAAGAGTAGGGGTGCTCAGTAGGATTGGGGAAGTGAACCATTACAAAGGATTACTCAGTGTGAATGATGAGGCCAGCTGCGTCTGTGAGCTGGGAGTTATGGTAGTTAGGATTCTGTCCTCCCATAGGGAGGAGAAAGAGGCTCCATCTCTATTGGGGTTTACCTTTTTAAATGATGGCTTTTAGTTCCTTAAGAAAAACACTCCTGAGCTGTACCATACATAGATATCCCAAAGGTTACAGAGAGAGGATTTACAACTGTAAGCCCCTTTCAGTAAGTGCTGTAAGAAAGAATGGTCAGGGGTGTCTAACCAAAAAGTTAATTCTCTTGGCAGCCTTAAGCTTTCATAGGCAAACACTAGAGGGTCAAGGATCATTCTTGGGACATAGCCTCAAGCAGCTGTTAGAAACTGTTAAGGTTTTTTTGAGTTTTTGTTGTTTTTTTGGTTTTTTTTAAGTCTTTGAATGCAGCATGAGGCAATGGATGAAATAACTTACGTTAAGAATCTATTGTTTGTATAGGCCAAGTTGAAGCCTACTCAAGTTGAGGCCTGATAAAGAAGAGTATTCAGGAAAACTGGGCTAGAACTTGGTCAGGAAGAGAATTCTTGTCAACACCATAGAAGCTGATGTAACTATTTATAAATTATTCACTGATGACCTTAACGTGCCAAATCATTTAAAACCATTATCCATTTAGCATCAACCAGTTTGGCACATAGGCCGTGAGGCAGAACTCTCGGGCCAGAAATTCACCCAGGGCAGGCACCCTTTGGGGAACTAGGAAAAATGAAGAAGCACAGACTCAAAGTGCCACCACTCAGACCACACACATTTATTTCCAAGGAACTAACCCACCAAGCTTGCTCTACCACAGAAAGGTAAGGCTTCCTTTCCCATAAACAATGGACTTGCCAAAAGTCTTTTAAAATAAGTGGGGTTTTTTGTTTTTTTTTTAATGTATGGTAAGAAGAGTCCACTCAAAAGTTTCCTTTTTGGGGGGTTTTGATTAGCAAACCTTTCGATCTGATACTATTAAGATAAACTAGAGAACAGTCATTTTAATTATTACCAACTTGGATCTGGAGATTAGTTTACTATAGATAAGATTTGGGTGCATGGCCACTGTGAAAAATAGCAAGCATTAAACTCACTTTGATAACCAGGAAAAGTTCATTCTCTTAAAAATGGAATGTGAGCATATATGATACTAT